GGAAAATAATTTGGGAAAAAAGTGGCAGTTTTTTTAACACACGAAAACGTTCCCATAATTTAAAAGGTTCCCCAAATTTTTAAATTTTAAAGAAAAATATATAGACAAAACCAATACCTTTTAATTATTTGGGGTTTTAAAATGAAAATGAGGTTAAATCCCGCATTAAAAAAATTAATATTTTAGATTAAAAAAAATTTTATTTTTAAAAATTTAAAAAAAGTAGGAAATTTTTGTTTTAGGGTAATTAAGCCCCAGAAATGATTGTTTATATGTCAAAGGCTTTTTTATTATTTTTTTGTGCCATGTAATAGCTTCCAAACACTTACTAAATGCAATATTCTCCTGTTGTCGCCTTGTTAGCAATGAGTACAGTTAAAGTGATAAAGAATTTGTAGATAAGTCAAAAAATACTACTTTTAAATTTGCTACTTTTATGACAAACAATTTCTCTTGTATACAAGCTTTCTTTAAGTGATAAGTATCTAACATGCGCTAAAACCATATTACTTAAACGTTATATAAAACAAGTGATAGGTATCTAACATGTGCTAAAACCATTACTTAAACGTAATAAAACAAGTGATAAGTATCTAACATGCGCTAAAACCATTACTTAAACGTTATTAAACAAGTGATAGGTATCTAACATGTGCTAAAACCATTACTTAAACGTAATAAAACAAGTGATAAGTATCTAACATGAGCTAAAACCATATTACTTAAACGTTATAAAACAAGTGATAGGTATCTAACATGCGCTAAAACCATTACTTAAACGTTATAAAACAAGTGATAAGTATCTAACATGTGCTAAAACCATTACTTAAACGTTATAAAAAACAGATGAGAGGGAAACATTATTCGTTGTAACTTAATCTCTATTTTCTTGCAAAATATGGTCGTACACAAACAGTTTATAATTACAATACTTGCCAAGTTTAGTAAAATTATGAAAACAAGTTATGTACTTTTCAAGTTGTGGCCTAAATTTAATTAATTGTTGCAGAAACTTGTAATAGTCGCAACAACTTATTAAGATTTAAAACATCATTTTTTTTATAAACCGCTGACTAAATTTTGACCACAATTAATTACTCTGACTACACTGAAGTTACAACAATGATATATCATTTAGGTAAGTTTGTGGTTGAAATATTTTCTTGGTCCAAAATATTATTGTTAGTGAAAATACAATGAAAACGTTTTCTTAAGTAGCGGTTAAAGGAGAGGCATGTCTGGAAAATGACGTCAAGGAGGAAAAAACATTTTCAGGGACAAATAATTCAAAAAGTAGCATGGTGACCCCCATTTTAAGTGGTAAATTCCATTCAATTAAATCTCTCTTTAATCAAGCAATGCTTAAGAAAGATCCCTGCGCTTGTTTAAAGTTGCAAAAAAAATAAATACTCTTTTGCCACATAGATGAACCATCTTATCCTTATTTTACTATGTTGGCAGTGTGTATAATCATAGTGAATGAGTATTTTGTATGGAAGTCAAAATACTTCTAAGTTTACATTTTGCTACCTTTACGACACAATACTGCACATTCAGGGCAACTTTCTTGTTTCAGTTGTTAAAAACTTATATGCTCTAAATTCATTATTAAAACATTTGATATTTCTAAAAAATTAAAATATGAATTTCTGAGGCATAACGTGCCTTAAAACAGTACTAGTTTTTTTTAACAAACTATTATTGTATATAGACAACAGTTTTATAAGAAATAGTAGTATAATTTGCAAACATTACCCAAACTTTACTATGTGACAGTTTGTTGTCATTTTTTTACAACATTTAGCCTACATTGAAGACAAAGGTTAAAGTTAAACAGTTTAAATCAATCTGGAGGGTTATTAGAGGACAAACAACCTTGCTAAAGGCTTGTAAGTTGTTATATGATAGCGTTGATTTATTCGACTTGACACCACGGAATGTAGTATATGTAGACCTAATAATTTCTTTCATATGTGCATAGAAGTTTAGATTAGATTATATATATTTATTACGACGAAATTCAGCAAATTTTCCTTGCTTATAGACGGTTTTATAGTATATAGTAATGTCTGGATGCCCTCATATTATAAAGTTAAAAGAGACAGTTATTTAATAAAAAAAATGTGTTAGGGAAACATACTTAAAGGCACATTATGCCTCAGAAACAAATGTATTGATCGTATTTTTATAAGAGTTTGATAACGTTTAAATAACAGTTTTAGAGAAAGTTAGATTATTTCATCCGCAGAAAGTAGTGCTAAGTGTGAAAATGTATGTCATAAAAGTACGTAAATGTAAACAAAGTTGCATTTTGACTATATATTACTATATTGAAACAATAGCAGGAGACAAAAAAAAATGAAAGGCTTTTGAGAAATAGAAATAAAATCATTTTTGGCGCATAATGGGCCTTTAAGTACGTAAAGAGGTAAAGAATGGTGACTATTAGCTGTTTAAATCTATTATGAAAGTGGGGCAAAGATTTTCCTTTAGAGAAGTAAAAATTGGTCCTTCAACAGGCATTTATAAAACACATTTCAAATCTCAGTTATGAGATAATAGGAGTAATAGTTGCTGCAAGGTTTCTAACACACGATCCTGGACTTTATCTTAATTAACGTTCTAACCTGACCCACGTGGTTCAAGTTAGGAATTAGGAAACCACCATTTCATTCTTTATAAAGAGAAAAGTTTTGTTCTTGTGACTGCCCAGAGTGTTTATTTTGAAGAATGAATCAAAAATTCAAAACGAAGAAATGAAAATTTTGCCTGTGTCTCACTTTAAAGCCTACAATAAATATATTAAATAAATTCTCTCGGCAGGCGTTCGTCTGTGTAAATGAATAAACCAAGGGCACATTTTCGAGATAGAAAATACGAACTTTGTACAATTTTTAAACTCTGTCAGTAAATACCCTTTTATCAAAGTAGAAAAGGGGATTAAACAAACAAAAGAAGAAGGAACAAAAACAGATAAATGTAAACAACCCATGTAAGCGTGTAAGTAACTTTCCCCACATTAGATAATTAATTCATGTTTTAAATGATTTTTAGTATAATATCAAGGCCAAGAATGGCATGATTAATTGATAATAAACCACTTGTTTTAAGACACTGTAATTATTCATCTACATCAGTATTTTCTCCCGTACAAATTTTCGAGGAGCGAACTTTGATATGTAACAGAAAATTGTTTCCTATCCCTGTTTGTTTCTTTTTAATAAAAGGTACATGTATTCAACCCTTTCATTTTATAAATACCTTACAAAGACTTGTCCATGTTTCAGAACTCATCACTTTTAGGGATATTTAAAATATGTACAGACTGATTAACGATCAGTGCATAACATAATCAGACGAGTTTGGAATTGCTGTTGTTGTTTTTTTAACCGTGCACCTAAAATGCACAAGAAGCCATAATTCAACATTCGACCCCGACCCCAAAGATTTTATATCAGTGCATGGAATATTAAGCAATTATTATTTTTTTTTTTAAAGATAATTTTCACTATTCTTTTATTTTGTATTACTGGCTCTTTTGCAAGATATAAGTAACCGAGGGAATGTATATAACTCACATCTTGATAGTGCTTATGTATAGGTTAGTGTTTAATAATACGTATTAACAAAAATAATTGGTCAAGCGGGCCGTAGGCACGCGACCAATAGTGATGATGAAGGTGATAATGATGATGATTATGTCAGCGAAGTTGACGATGATAGCCATTGTTAGAACAGTTTCAGGTTTCATCACTAGTTATACATCGAAATACTCTTACACACAGATATCTTGTGCAATGATGTTAATGATCTAGTGTAATAATAACATTGTAGTTGTAAATAACAATATATGTCTTAAACGTCAGCTTTAATAAATAAAAACATGAAAATAAGGTAAAGTCTTTAGTGTATAAATGTTCAGACATATGTTTTGGTGCATTGTTCTTGTCATGTAGAAAAAAAAATCGTTAAGAATATCTTTACCGAGTTGCACTTAATTACTGGGAATTGTTATATACTTATACGTATATAAGCAAAATAATGGCTGTTTGGTATCAAAGTGTATTAACTATGCTGGTTTGCATTTGATTGAAATTTAATTATTATCATAATTTGGTTTTACATGAAAGAGAGGCGGAAAGTAACAGTTACAAACCTGTGATTTTTGTTAATAAGTTTGCGTTTGGGTACTTGAAATATTTCAATGGAATGCTATTTCATTCGTCGACATAAGGCATAATGGAGTCTCGAGCACTTACATTGACTCAGGGCGCAACAGTTACTGATGGATGGATGGATGGATGGATAGATGGATGGATGGATGGATGGATGGATGGATGGATGGATTGTAACAAGATAAAAAAAGGTTTATACAAGTCTCAATTCTGCAGAAACAAAGTGCTGAACTATACATAGTTTATATCTGGTAGTTGAAAATTCATCCGCCCCGTTTTTAGGAAAAAATCCATTAAATTCATTGCGACGAGTCTGCTTGCTATCTTATACAAGGAAAAACACATAATATATATATACTGACTGGCCATATAAACAATTATAGCAGATTTTATTTAAGTTCACGAAATGCATGATATGAGCATAATCACGTGCGCATAATGTCACTTCCGTTTGGACTGATATCCCATGATTAACCCTTGTTGTTGCCCAATTTGCGGATACCAGCTGGTAAAGCCTTCGTTATTTATCTATTTATTTACTTATTCACTTTTAAACTCGATGTTATCGATTTAACATAAACGTTATTTATCTTTCGTATCGATGGCTAAAAAAAAGCAACACAAATTTTTAAAAGTACATCATATTGAAGAATAAGCATAACGTTATTATTAACGTGGTACAAGGAAGGTTTGACGTAACGTAAATACATGTAACAAATAGAGGTTTCCAAGTTCCTAACCATTGCCTAATGGTTAAACCAGATGGAAAAAAGTTTTCATATTGTTAAAAGAAGAAATATCAAAATAAATATATAAATATCTTACTAGTCATTAAAGTCCATACTTTGCTCACACAAATTAATTTAACACATTAATTGTGTCCCTTCTAAAGCAAAAACATCATCTGGATTACAGACAAAATAACACTACTGTACAAATTTTACGTACGCCTGTTTTAAACCGACATTATTTTGGTCAATGTCGAAATTATACGGCAGCAAGAAAATACAAATTTTAATGTCTTCATAAAGATATGAAATAATTTAACTTCCCGTGATTTTATGTGAGATTAAATTGAAGAAAACAATGATCATATTGTATAAAAACTTGGCATTGAATGTCGCCTAATGTTAACACTGTAAAGTCAGTGTTAAATGTCACCCAATGATCACTTGTATAAAGTTGACATTTATGTCACCATAATGCTGGAATTGTATAAATTCAGTGTTTAATGTCACCCTATGTTTCTTTTGTATAAACTTGACATAATATGTTACATAATGCTGAAATTGTAAAAAAAAAATTGTTCCATGTCACCTAATGATAACTTTGTATATAGTTGACATTATATGTCAACCTAATGTCGACACTGTGTTACGTCAGTGTTGAATGTCACCTAATGATAACTCTGTACAAAGTCGACATTATATGTCACCTAATGCTGACAATGTAGGCAACGTATAAAGTCTATAATGCCTGATGACATCTTATAAAATCGGCATTACATGTCACCTAATTATCATTTTGTATAAAAGTGATATTATATGTCACCTAATGCTAAAATTGTATAAAGTCAGTGTTAAATGTCACCTAATGACATAGCAGAATGACATCGACATTATATGTCACCTAATGATCATTTTGTATAAAGTCGACAATAAAGGTCGCTTTACACTGACATTGTATAAAGTCAGTGTTAAATGTCACCTAATGACGTGGCAGAATGACATCGACATTATATATGTCACCTAATAGTCACAGTGTTATATGTCATCTAATATTTACATCGTTAAATGACATCTAATGGTCACATATTTATATGACACTTAATGATGACATCATTATATGACACCTTATGGTCACATCGTTATATGATACCTAATGGTCACACAGTTAAATGGCACCTAATGGCCACATATTTATATCACACTTTATGATTACATCGTTATATGACACTTAATCGGCGCATAGCTATATGACATGCAATGACCATATCGTTATATGACTCTTAATGATCACATAGTTATATGACACTTAATGACCATATCGTTATATGGCACTTAATGACCACATAGTTATATGACACTTAATGACCTTATCGTTATATGACATTAAATGGTTACATCGTTATATGGCAATTATTGTCACATTGTTAAATGACAATGGTCTTATCGGTATATGACACTAAGCGTAGGGTGGGTAGTATACTTATTGTTTGTTGATTAAATTTTAAACGACAACTGCTTTAAATAATTATGTGGTGTCATAAAATAAACGATGCATTACACCATATGACAGGAAAGGTACACTTTTCGTTATTTGGTTGTTGTGCTGTGTTTACGTAAATAATATTATTTTAATTTATTCATAAGAAATAGAACTTGAGAAAATTCTATGTATAGATGAAATATATCAATTCTATTGCATTTTTATATCATTTTATCGAAAAAGCGTTTGACTGGCATGGAGTATCATAGAGTCTTGTAAACCTTAAACGGTGTCTTTAAACTAAGTGTATGCTAATTTTGTCTCAATTGTTGTTTTAAAACAATATGTCAACAAGACTTTCTTTAAAGTTTGCTTTCAATTTCTCAGGCGTCTTCATACTTGTTTCAACATCAATTTATCATTTACAATCAAAATGGAAAAAAAAAACGAAAAAAAAAACATTCATTGATGCTGCACCCTGTACGCCTTTAGACAAGCAAAATTATTTCAAGAAAATCTAACTTGAGAAAAATATACTAAGATTTTTAAAAAAAAGTAAAAATATTCAAGATTCAAGTAATAATTTACATGTTATATGTGAGTAATGACTGATTTTGCAGTATTTATTACTTTATTTCTACTGCTTCACTAACTCAGAAGGTATAATTTGACCACTTTTTGGTTATTTACATAGATTTTAAGAGCCGTTTGCAATGTGTAAATTACTTTCTTAGTTAACTTCACAATTTTTAATTAATTAAATGTATTTTCAATACTTTCTTGAAAAATAGCATGCTAATTGAATATAAAAAGCCAGGGATTCTTTTGTCATGACGTAGTTAAATTTATCATAGCATTATAGTTAACATTTAGTTTAGTTTATATCAATATATTTTAGTTAAATTGTGTTGGAAGCTTAAAGCTTATTGAAACACTCTCGAATCCATTCCTGGAACAAACCAGTACTAAGCAATGAATATTAAGTTTCTTGCTCATGTCAACAACGGCTTGCCCTGACGTGGTTTGAACCCACGCTGTCAGCAATACTTGGATTACTAGTCCAACCCGTTAACCACTAGTTTGTCTTATTTCTTTAAAAAAAATGTGTATGGTGGCGGATTTGTGCTGTGTCGTATTTCCCTCCTTTAGTGTGGTCTTATACATTCATTCAAAAATGAACGTACATTTTAAATTTGTAATTATATAATATAGAATCCCCTTTTTCATATATTATATGAGTATTATTGTTCTGTATTTACCCATATTGTACATAATGATTAAACTGAGATAACTTATGTTATTTTATGACTTTCATTGTGATTTCTTGGACAATCTGAAGCCACGCTGGATAAACAGAAATAATATTTGTTTTTAGCCCGACATGTTTTACGTTTTGACAGAGCAGTCATAGGTTTTGTATCATATGGATAAAAGAACTTGACATTTAAGTTGAATTAGAATTTTTATACGTCCGTTAGATACATCTTTTTGTTGTTTAGGCAGATGGCCAGCGGATCAAATGTCAGTTTGTGCATAGATTATCATGAAAAAGAAGAAAAAAAACTTAAGCAAGCAAAGTCACGTGAGTCAATCAAAATAGATTATTTTGAAATGCATCAATAATTATGACAAAGCAGCAATGATTAAATGCAATAAAATGATAAAATTTCGTACATATCCAAAATGATATTCGTCCTCTATCACAATTACATTGCAACATTTACGTCAAAAATTTATTTCATATCAAGTACAATCTAGTACTAAAATTTAAACCAATATTTGCATACCTTATTTCTAATTAATGTTAGGACGCTGCAAAGCTCCATAAAAGAGAAAACTATCGACATGTGCAAGCATAATGTTAAAAGCAACTTAATTGTATTCAAACTTTTGTCAAAGTAAAATAATTTATCATTAATTAAACTGAATTTGTTTATTTTTTTATTGTTTCTTTATAGTTGTTTGTTTCCTCAAGTTTTAGTATTTTAATTGGTTTTTAATTGGCCCTTTAGTGAATATCTTAAAACACTTTTTAATACGGAATCAGCAATCATATCTAAAAACACTTACAATTTACGAAAATCCATTATCTGCCAGTACACTGTTAAAACCTCTTCACTTGTACATCAATATTATATGAACTTTTTTGTTAAAGATGAGTTCAATATATATAAATCTCTGATAATAAGTTAAAAATATCTCCATTTAAGATCACCTCTACATCTTGTGTTAATTAATTCTAAATTCTTGTCAAACGTGTATCTCTTTGTTGACGTCACCACTACAAGAACACTTACACGTGTTAGCAACATGTAATTGACGATAATTGCGATTCTCACATTCAACATTGTCATGTCCTAACCCTATCTATGTTTCTACTTGGTTGTTAAAGTCCTACGCTTTAACAATGCTACTTGGATCCGTTAACTTTGATTTCATATTCTGAAATAACATGGCTTATGAGGATGATAGTAATAATGATGATGATGTCGTCGTCGTTGTTGTTGTTGTTGTTGTTGTTGACGACGACAATGATGATGATGATGTTGATGATGATGATGAATAATGATGATGTTGTTGTAAATGATGATGTTGTTGTTGTAAATGATGATGAAGGCGACGTTATTGTTGATGTTATTGTTGATGTTGTCAAATTGATTATGATGATGATGATGATGTGATAGTGTTTTGTTGTTGTTGTTGTCAATGATGCAGATGGTGATGTAATTGTTCATGTTATTTTTGATGTTGATGATGTTGTTATTGATTATGATGATGATGTTGTTGTTGTTTTTGGCGATGATGATGACGTAACATTGTTATTGATTATAAATGTGATGATGATGATGATGATGATGATGATGATGATGATGATGATGTAAAATTTTGACCAATAACATGTTTTGAACGAAATAAAATGTTTTAAAACTACAAGTTCTTGTAACTAAAACACATCAAAGTTTTTATTGTTTTCTTTTCTCGCCATACCAGCTCGAAAAATGCGATAACAATAACACTATATGTTAGTATCAAAAACTTCTTCTAATCTTAGTTTTTGGTTTGTCAGACGAAAAATTGAAGTCAATTTATCGTGCGGCGTTTTCACACACACGACATTACATATCATCTCTCTGAACATAAAATAATAAAGATGTGCTCATACAAATTTTCTCACCTTACAGTATCGTTGGTTTTCCGAGGCATTTTTCGCACTTGTAATAAAATTTCTGGAAATATCTAACTTGTTAACTAAATACAACTTCGTGATTCTCGTTACATACCGTTTATATAGGAATGCTAAAACATGACATCATGAACTTGTAAGACATGTATGATATCTTGTCATTTAACCATTAAACAATCAGTACTTCAAACCAATTAAATCACAATATTAATATTTCCTTATCATAAAAAAATATATATACAATTTAAACAAAAATTATTCTTGCAAAAAGAACCCCTCAAAAAAGGAAAAAGAAATATTCAAATGTCATTCAATAAAACAGAGATTCAAAGGGTCTTCTGACTTACTTTACAAGACTGAATATGTTAAAAGAAATCACGCCCCTATAGCAAAAACAAAATTTTAACTCCACCAGACAGACGTCTAAAGACAATACATAAAAAAACACCAACGCGTTACATGAGGTGATATATGAGCCGCGTCACGACAAAACCAACATAATGGGTTTGCGACAAGCGTGGATCCAGACCAGCCTGCGCATCCGCGCAGTCTGATCAGGATCCATGCTGTTCGCTATCAGTTTCTCTAC